CTACAGAATGTACCTAAACTTTATAACGAACACTGTCGAGTATTTTTCGGGACACACCTGAGTATCCACAAGCCCCAATCGCCTAGCCAACGAACGAAGGTTAAACACGAGCGACGGAAGCGAAAACGCGAGTGAAACGAACAGAGTTATTTATCTTTTATTTCCCATTTCTTTCTCCGTTCGACCGAGTTTCCGTTCCACGTGCCTGACGGAGTACAAACAAAAAACACACGCGAGAAGGTGGCGGGGAAAAAGGAACGAAATAGCAAGTAAATACGATGTATTAATATTTTATTCGAAATAATAAAAGTCGGTTTAATGTAAAATTCATCATATCCATTACTACTAATTAAACGGAACTGAAAGGTCAGCGTGTGGAGGCGCGTGAATTTTCCAACGATAAAAGTCGGCGGCTTTTGATTATTTTGTTTCCGTTGATTGAGAGGATATATTTCCACCCGGGGGTGGTGGCGGGGAAAAGGAAACCGGGGAGATGGACAGTGCTCGTCGCCCATTAAATAACTGATTATTGCCATGAAACTTGCACCACCATCACGCCTCCATGGACCGTGTGTAATCTCAGACATCGTCCGTGGCGCTCGTGGCCACGTTAAACGAGTGGTACAATTGAAAACGTTATTACGTTAGGTGTATAATTAAATGCATCGCATAATTTCGGAATCGGGTACGCGATGTCCCACCCACCCCTCCTCCCTCCTAAAAGTAATTGTTGATTGTAAACCGGTGCCGTGCATCCGTTACCCGTGCAAGCAATGTAATAGTTGTTAATCAACTGCAATTAGAGACGGAACGGCAATTACATCTCTTTTCGAGGGAGCGGTAATAAATTACAAGCGGATCGATAAATCGTAATATTTCATTGCACTACTTCAAGTATTTTGTTGGTAATTAGGGGAACGGGGGGCCATGTGGCCCCCTCTCTGTCTGTCTCTCTCTTATCGCGAACTAACTCGGCCATTGTGCCGCATTAAAACGGTCCATGGTTAATTTTTTTTCGCGTCGCAGCGACACTTTTCTCGCCCCCCTCCCCCCGCGATTCGTTCCGCAAAATTCCGGACGTTTCCCGTTTTTTTTTCGGCTGTTTCGCCCGATTAAAAAGATCGCCCGATTGTTCGCGCGGGAAATTCCAGCGACTCTATATAACCGAGGAACTCTTCCGACGATCCTTGGTATCGCCAATTAGCCAGGTTCGGAACGGAATTTAATGGCCGAGTCCGGGTTTACGCGGTTTTTCGATCGAATGGCTTGATTATTTTCGTAACGGGCATTGGTTGCGCAGCAAATCTGTGTTTATTTCGCGTTTCTTTCTTGTTCGTTTACGTTCGCTGTTTCCGCCTCGATATCGTCGCGATATTATAATCCATATTGCATACGTTTATAACGTTGAAAACGGTTCGATTTCAAGGGATGCATACCGTTATTCGACAGTTTGGAGCACTAATTATTCCATTGGATGAACAGTAAAAGTTATTTCCGAATATCATCGGAATTTTTCATGTTTCGGATAAAATTTCATCCCATGTTGTTCCCAGAGATAATGTCATCATATGCCTCCAAAGCATACTATAGTGTACGTATCGAAAATATATTTGAACTACCTTGATGTTGGGAGATCAACAGTTATAGCAGTAACCAGCTTTGTTAACGAAAGATGAGAATCTACTTTAACGTATGCGTACGAGTATTGGCTAGTTCAAATTGAAACACCTGTTCTTTATATCATATTCTTCCAAACCTCTTTCTTCAGCTATCCTCATATTTCGTGTACCGTAGGATATGTTACAACGAACGAATGCTATAACGAACAGTTTTTATTATTACAATCAGTGCTAAACACACAACCGACGATACAAATTTGTTAACAGTATTATAGCGTCAGTTGTCATATTTTGCTATAGCTTGTGAAATTATTTTCAATACTTCAACGAACGAAGTTTTAGAACCAATTACATAGTTCGTTGTACCATACTCCACAGTATTTAAAATCTATATATGCGAGGTGTAACCCTCCTCACAATTCACCTTCTAATAACCATTACTCCGATTAGTATTTCCTTATCTCCTACAACATCAACAAAAATTCTGTAAAAACACGGGAAACATATACCTATAATATCCAACAAAACAAATGTCCTCATTTTCCTCACCAATTAAGATTCCAAAACCCAAGAATAACAGATCGTCTTCGAGGGATGCTCCAACGAAAAACTCCTTTAATCACCGAACAATTTACCATTACACCGAAGCGTCAAGAATGCGCTGGAACAAGGATTACCGATCACCTGAACCACCCGAAACTAACCCCCCCCCCACACACAGGGTGCACGCAGGCAGCACACGAGCCACGTGTGCACGCGGCAACGTCTGAAAGTGCGAAACCCAGAGGGGGGTTGGGTGGTTCGGCCCTCTTGAAAATATTCAGGGACGATGGGGTCCGCCATGGCGAGGCCAAGAAATCTTTGATAGCGACGCTCGATAGTATAAGCGACGCTGGGCGCCGGCGCCTTTCCCGCCGGCAGCCCCATTGGTGCCAGAGTCCCTCTCTCTCTCCGCAACCGAGTGCCCGCCGACGGGTTTCCTTGGAAACGCTTCGTTCGCTCTGATGTCTACCCTCGCCCACGGAAAACCTCTTTCAATTAGGCAACCAACCACCCCAAGCGCCGACCGAACGACCGACGGTTGTGTGCACCTCTGTTTCTCCTTTCTCCACGCTCATCCGGGACGCTCAACGCGCCGTTTTTTCGAGAGACCATTCTACCTGCGTCAAAAGGGAGCGACCGGCTTTGCCGAATTCCCTTTTGCATCCAGGATCTCTTCTACCCCCACCCCTCTCGCGTAATTCCCTTTGTTTTTAACAATTACGTTTTGATACTTGATCCTTGAAAAAGGACGATTTTTCTGGAAAAGAAGATCGAGGATTTTGCGAAAGATCAAAGGTGTGTCGCCAGAGGGACAAGTGTCCGATCGTGTTCTAGATATATTGCATAAAGTTAATCGGAACCATAAGTCGGATCAGAATTGAACGGTAATTTCCGTGATTGAATTACAGTAAATTATCGATGAGTGCTGGAAGGCTCTTTGGCACTGACAAGAAGAGGTCCTTAGGTATAACGCTGACTTTTTAAATGAGATTTAGCACAGCGATCGAGCTTGGAATTTTGAAGCTAATGATATTTGTGTCAACTGTATATGGTGATTAGTTTATGAAATATTTAACGTTCAATGCCGAGGAACCTTCAAACACTCATCGATGATTTACTGTATGATGATCTCGTTCAAGGCGTCGTTACTTTCAACGGTGTTATTCCGGGAAAGTCGATTCACTCTTCGAATTAAAATTGAACGAAAAACATCTAGAAGAATCATTTAGTAGAGTTTAATCCCACGGACTTACACTTAAGACCTCACTTAATTCCGCGGTAAAAGTTACCAGATGAAAATAAGTAAGATTGGATTGTGAATTTAATCAATCGAACTGAGGCAAGAAGTCCGAGGGTATCTAGAGCGGCCGAGGAGGATATATTTGAATGAAGAGAATGATATTACGCGTCACTCCTGGCAAGAAGAAATGGATATGTTGGATTAACGTGCGAAAGTCACCGAATTCTTTCGTAATTGTTTCATTGGAAGGTATACCCCGAGAGTGTTCGTATAGAAGACCCATGTGTGCGCCTCACGTGAACGTGTGCATGTGTGTGTGTTGACGCGGGAAAGAAGATGAGTGAAACTGCTTGATATGCAGCGCGACGCCAGGCTTGAGTGACGCCTCCAAGTTGCGAATAAAATTTTCATGAATTTCTATTAGCTTCGTTTTTCTAGACGTGCCCCGGAGACAAAAAAGCTTCTGGGCCGGATCGCTGCTGGGGAATATGGAAACTACTGCCGCTTGGTGAACAATATCGGGCTGTATTAATTTTCAGTTTAACGACCAGTGTTTCTGCTGATCCGTCTAAAAATTCTATAATTATTAAATAACTGTATCTATCGCGATCCATCATGAGTCGAATACCAAACTGAGATCGAAGATTTGAAAATATTTAAAGTGTACAAAAAACACCTGGTTTCCTGGTGATTCAATGTATCTCTGTTTCGATGGACTCAAAGCGTGGAGACGTTCCATGGCTATTCAGCGGTGATCTTTGAATTTGGCGTGTTCAGAAGGGGGATGGGGAAAGATTCCGGAAAGTTTTGCGGTAACCCCGTGGCAGACTGTGGTCCGCCAAAATTCTAGACCCCGTGGGGCGAAGGCTTAGTTGCTACTCCAAGTTTCACTTTAATCCGAAAAGCCACGGTAAGGCTGGTGAAATTGATTTCGAGACACTCTCGCGGTTCCATCTGTCTATGCTTATTAAATCTGTCCATCGTCCAGAAAGCAAGACAAAACGAGTTTCACAGTGGTACAGGATATTTTGAATGTCTACAGTGTCTATGAATACTTTCGTAACTAAGTCTTACTCAGATTACGTAACCCTTTATAGACCCGAATGAATTTAAAGTCACATACCGATGTATAGTAAATCCTCGATGAATGTTCAGAGGCTCCTACTGAACATTAAATATTTCATTAAACCAATGGCCATGTACGGCTTAAACAAATATCATTGACTTCAGAATTCCAAGTTCTATCACCTGGGGCCTCTCCTTCTCAGTGGCGATGAGCCCTCGAACACTCATCGAGGATGTACTGTATCAATATTTTTTAGGTCTAATTTAATTTTCTGCCGCTATGTGGCGTACACATCGTGTTCTATAACCTCTCTTCGGCAACCAATAAGATTCTTAATGTTTATTTCTCTTTAGAGATAAATATTGGTTGGTTGTATGTTACAGAAATTTTCTTTATAGTCACGAACAAAATTTGAGCTACAGGGGATTAATATTAATAATCAAGATAGGCGCGATGACTTCTAAGCGACTCTGTTTCTTTCTAAACAACATCGAAACTGATGGATTATAATGTATGTAATAACAACACTTACTTGAACTCGACTCTCCGTGAGGCCAATCTTCACAGCTATCTCCTCCCTGAGAAAAATGTCCGGATAGTGCGTCCGATTAAAACACCTTTCCAGCTCGTTCAGCTGGGCAGGTGTGAACCTCGTCCGATGTCGTTTCTGTTTCGCCGGCTTGACGTCATCTTGACCGATACCTAGAACACGCGTGAAAACTATTAATCCTTCGGTGTTGTTATATTTCTTCATCTTAATAACTTTCTACTTGCTAAAATTTAATCGATGAAGAAAAATGGAACCGTTAGCGGAGGAGAAATAAATATAGCCATGTTCAATATTTTGCTCGATGACATAAACACGTCGAGGTTAAACACACTTGGAATCGAATAATGTTCTCGGAAGGAGGTGACTAAGCATATAAAATCCAAAAGTCAGGTGTTGCATCACGATGTAGATAAGAAGAATATTATTTATTTGAACTTCTTCGGGAACAAAAAATTCCTGATATATTGAGACGATCATGAAATGAACGTTCACGTGGTACTAGTAGTTCCGGTTTGTTTGCAGACAGACGACATAATAGCCCGAACAGTAACAGCTGTCTTTGTATAACAGGAGTATCATTTAGCGGAAGATCAGTCACAGGTTCAATCACTGCCTGCAAAAGTATTGCGCCAGAACGATAACATGTTCATTAAAATATACCGGATAAAACCGTTACAGCCCAATACTTTCGTAGAGGACAGACAGGTAGCTCTGGGCGGTGGGTAGCCCCGGGCATATCAGTATCTTCATTACTAAGTCATGTAGAAAAATTAATAACAGATTATAATGTGTCTGCCTAAGCCCAGGAACAATTTTTTTCCTGAAGTATTGTTACGTAATTAATCAATGCAATACATGCAAAGACTGGGCACATGAAAAATGTGCAATCTTTGTTCTGGCAAATTTACATTATTACTGTAATGTATGTAAGGGTACGTGAACTTCTAGATGATCGTTAGTAAATTATGTCCAGGGTTACCCGCCATTTTCTGATCGCGAAAAAACAGAGGCTACAGTTCATTGATTTTGTTTCTAAAATCATTTCAGAAATGTGTCCTATTTTTGTATTTATAATGAATCAGAAAGTTCTTATGTTTATTTTCCACAAGAATCATTTGATTGGAATTTAATGATTATATATGGTTTTCGTGTTTCATTTAATTGCCAGGGTCTATCCACTCTTCCCTTACGCCAGTTACTCGGTCCAACATAAACATCTAATCTGTACACCTTCGATTCCGCTGTGAATTATCTTCCTCTATTGGAACTAACTACAGGATCATTCGTATGTATATCTATCTACAATCAGAATGCAACGTTCATTCGTAACACCTTCAACAATGCCCAGCAGCAAATGAATCGCAAGCCACAAATGTCCCGAAGTTCAAGATTAATACAAAACAGACCTGGGCACTTCTGAAATATTATTTGAAATATTATTTGAAAATTATTTTGAATTATTATTCTATTTTCTAATCGTTTGAAATAATTCTTAGAAATAATTGTGAAATTGTTTCTCGAAATTATACCAGGTGACTAGGTCTGCGTTTGGTTTATTGACATTTTTCTGAAGAATAACACCCCTCTTCCATCTTCCACACCAGTGGAACAATTATTTTCGTTCGCGACAACATTAAATAGACCCAAGAAAAGATCTTTCACGGATGAGCTTCTCAAAGAGCGGATTCAGTTTAAACCAAATTGCTGCAAAGATTTCTAAAAATAAAATCGTTTTCTTGCATTCTATTTTCAGTATTATATCTACTACCAACTTCGAAATACACAAATAACAAAATACTTCATTATTAGAAATTGCAATTATTTAAAATGAACCGATAATATTTTCATTATCAAATACCAATTTTGAAAATTAAGCTTCTAAACAAATTATTTCAAGTTTCCCATTTGCATTTGAAACAAAAATTTACCCAAGTCTGATACGAACATACGGAACGTCAATCGGAATCGCCAGGCGAAAGCTAGCCACCGTTGAACCTAACAAAAATAACCGGAGCGAAGAAAACGCGAAAAAATCAGCGAGCCCGATTTCCGTGAACACGCGTTGAAAAACGCTTACCCGCGGTAGCCATGATCAATTCCTGATGAGGCGTTAGTCCACCGCCGGCGAGTCCACTGCCCAAATTCACACGGAGCACGGGAGTATCCAACTTGTCGTGCCTCTTCATGTCCTGCGCATGAAGATCCTTCGTTCCTGCGAACACGATTCGCGAACAAAAAAAAAAAATCGTAGCCATTACAGTTTTCCTCTTCCTTGTTCCCCTCCCCCACCCTCTCCCGGTCCCAATACGGCCGCGTGACCCCTCTCGCGTGTCCGTCTCGCTCGCTCCCTTTCACGCCGCTGTTCTATGTAGTTTAAATTTGTATAGGAGCAGAAGCTGCCCCGGTCGACGGCGAGGGGAACACGGACCACTTAGCACGAAGGTGCAAGAATCGTCACCGGCCTCCGGCTTCTAGGCGAGCAAACACACGTTTATCCAGCCCTGGTACCACGTACACATGTATATGTATATATACACGAGTCTGTGAGTTCTTTACGGTGGTCGTCGAACACATTTCGAACGTGTGGGAGGTGGACTGGCTGGATACACCAGCGACGATTCTGGTACCCGTGCCCGTGATCGGCGGCCATCGCGGCGTCGTTGTGCTTTGTCAAAGCTGCTTACGCAATCGGGTACACTAGTTCCAGACGTCGAGGCGGTCTAGGGACATTCGACGGTGAACGGAACTCTGGGAGATCCCCACTTCTCCTCCCTCCCCTCTTTCTCTCCGACCGGAAGTTGAGGAATCGCGACGTATCGGTTCTGTTTGGTTCTGTGGACCTCGAGGACGGGATGGGTTGATATATCTCAGAGCCAGAGTATATTAGGTCACAATTTCCAAAACTTTAGAGAGGAAATTGAAGGGTTAAACATCTTGTCACTTTGGAAACTTTCGGTAAGAATTCAACGAGAAATAATCGTTACTTTCGAACTATTGAATGGACTTAAGGCAAGTCTGGATATGTAGAAATGGTGAACATGGCGTTATGTAGATCATTCTTAAGCGATGGATTTTATATTGTTTGGTTCGGAACAAAATATAGACCTAATATCATTATTACATTATTTTCTGCTAAAAGATAAACGACTTTGAACGAAATAATTTTTACCATTCGAAGCAGTGGTAAAATTTCAGATGTTAATGCTGATATGGGCAGGAGTGGTGCGAATCAGTAAATATGCTTCTGAGATATTTAGAGAACTCTCATTAATTGAGACCTGCCGCTGCATTGCGTGGCATAACTACCAATCCACCCTGAAATTTTTATTCCTTATATATTGTGGTTAAAATAATTTATCCTTTTCTGGAGAAATTTTATTTCTCGACACAATTTCAGAAATGACATACTTGGTTCGTTTTTACTATAACCACAACACGAATCGAAAATATTAGGGTGGTTTTACAGTTATGGTATGCAGTGTACACTGGGTTCCGGTTATTTGTTTTACTTTTGGCATAAATAAATAAACGGCTATCTCAATTATGCGATGTGTCACATGGGTGAATACGGTACATTCGATTAGATTTTGTTCTTTGAGCCTTATCCCGAATAAACGGCTACCTCGATTAATCGGTGGCCCAAATAAGGAGTATTAAACCTTATTAACAAGTCAGCGTCACACTTGAGGACCTCTTCTTATCAATGCCGAGGAGCCTTCGAACACTCATCAAGCATATACTGTACTTGCATTTTCGCAACGAAATAAAAGGTAACACTTTCTAACGATGATCGTGACGAACAACTTTTGTGTGCTCCTTTGTTTACCCGAACAGAACGTTCAAACCGAAAGACCCACAGACAACCATAGTGACGAAGAACGGAATATATTAAAAAAGTCTGAACCTAGTCGAACTAAAAGGCTTCATATCGTTGACGAATTTTGTAGTATACACGCAGATCAATGGAGACACTAATTGATCGTAAGAATATGTTTTCACGATTCATTTGCAACGATATCCTATGGTCTGTTAAGCTTCGAACGATGCATCAAGCTGGGTTATGAAGTTACACGCGTCGGGACGATAATACACTAACCGCGTCGAATTTTATTGGTTTCATAAATACGACGACGACGACCGTGCGTACCCGGCAGTTTTGCATCGGTATTTTATAATCCGCATTGTTAATGGCGATTCATTTTCGGACTGGTCCGCTCGGTGTCCAAAATGTTTAATGCAGCCGTACAGATTCATAATAATGTTACATGATCTGGAATTTTCAATGGTGTAACGGCGTCACGGAAATAGTTACATAATTCCTGCGGTTACATGCATGGTTTCCGGCGGAGGTCGGACGTCGTTTGTTATTTCTGCTAAGTTATGCAAAGTGTCAGTCTGAAATTCGTACGTTTCTATCGATGTCGATGTATATTTCGACTCGCGTGTATGTATTAATGCAATTTGTATATCCGACGAAAGCCAAATAATGCACACCGTGACAATGATTCGCGGTCATTTCGTTGGGTTCCTTTTTGTGATACAGTAAACTCTCGACGAATGTTCGAAGGCGCCTTGATACTGAACATTAAATATTTCGTACATTAATGTCATGTGTGACTGAAATAAATATTATTGCATTCAGAATTCAAAGATACAGTGTATACGTCGGTTCAACATTCAGCATTCTGAATTGTTAGATACAGTTTAACCCTTTAACCACGGCTGTCGTTGATAGACAATGAATCGAAAATTTTATGATATACCGTTTGTCGTCAATAAACGATTTTAAGATATCCCACCAATTGTCTACTACAGTAAACGTCTACTTTCTCACTTTAGCGACAATATCTGGAACATTTCTTGTCGATCGGTAATACGATATTTCTTTAACTGGCATCTAAACAATGGAAAAACGGTGTTACTCTGATTCCTAATTCGTTTTTTATCGTGAGGAAACACATTGTTTGGAAAAAAGAGTATCTTAACAATGTTTCAAATAGTCTTCAAATGACTATTGGTTTTTGATTTTCTGAACCTAAATATTTTTGGATGTGCTACTATGTTGGATCGCTTATTGGCGATTCCATTGCTTTCATTTGCCTTTTGTTATCCGGGGCCTGACTACAATTATTTACTTGTTTATTTTATTCGTTTCATTTATTTATGTATTTATCTGACATTAAACGTAAAATGAACCATATACCTATTTTATTTCTGCGTTTAGACGGTCAATTTCATGACTATATGACTCGTAGTTAAAGGGTTAACAAGACTTTTATTATATTTACAGCCTAATAGAATCCTCGAATGAACCAATTTCTGTTTGATCCGAGTTCTCACAGACTAGACACTAAATCTCTGTATTTCTATAAACATCCGCAGTCTAGTTATCACAAGACCATCGAGCAGCGACTTTCATTTTCGATCGCGTCTCGTCTGGTAATCGTTTCCAATCGAAACACTCCGCGTCTGTTCGAACGGAATATTGGATTCAATCTTATTTGCCAAACGTTTAATTCTATTCCGAACAAAACTATTTCCAGGCAGACAGATGGTAGTCCCCGGAATAAGTGCGCGAAACGTTAGAAAATTCTATAAAGTATGAAACTCCAACAAAAACGGGTCGTAATCGATCGTTGAATAATGGATGAAGATGATTTTGGATATTGACGTGTTTAACGTGAGATAAAAGAATGACGCGGGAAGATCGTGGTGACCATTATTTTTATTTTTCTTCCGTAGACACCGTCCTCGAAAGGAACACCGTACGGCCCTATCGACGACAGACACGAGCAGGCTCCACTCAATGGACACACTTTTGTATGAATGAACTTTATGACTGGTCTTTATTTCCGTTTTACTTTTATGGCTCTTGATGATTTTATTTCGATTTTACTGGAAGACCCGGTATTTACGAGCACCCCGTCCCCCCCCCCCCCCCCCCCCCCCCAGCGAAAGACGGAGACAAACCGGTGTACACCGGATTTTTCCGTCGAATTTTACAATAATTTTTTGCCCGTGTCACTGGCCGAGGAAAGGACACCGGGAGATTCAATTGTCGCGAGGCAAGCCACGCCATATCAGCCTGTGTGATTTAATTCGTCTCGATTTGAGAGCAATTTATCACGGAAAATGCTAGTTTTATACGAGAAACCTCACGAAATCTCGTTTGCATACAGGTCTTCAGAAGATCACGGTACAGTAACACACGCGTGTAAATCCTTATCGATCTCCACAAATTCGTAGAAGAATTGAGAAACAAAATAAATTTAATTTAATTAACTATATCGTCCCAGGTACAAGTTTTGGTAACAAAAGGAGGCATTCGTGGGTATTAGCGCAGCGATCTTTTGTTTGTTCCGGCGGTGCTTTACCCTTCATTAGCTCCCAGAAGGATTATTTAATCCTATTTCACCCGATCGGATTATCGGATTTTTTAATCGAATTAAAATGATAATACCTAAGGTTGCGCGCATAGGGCACGTCGCGGCCGATTATTTCCTCCTCTTCCGTTGGCCGTTTTCGTGCGGTAAGAACCGCCCTTTTTTGTTCCGGTACCGATTCAATATCCCCATCGACGAGAATGATTTCGGCAACGACGCCGCTGGCCGGCCCGGCATCGATGACACCTTTCAAAAATCACGTGATTGACAGCCGTCCGCACAGGGAACGTCTGATTAATAAATTCATAAATCACATTACCAGCCGAAAACGTCGGTGACGGACGGGGGCTCATACCGGACACGTCCCCCGTTCCCGATCAAGCTCATTGTCTCAACGGCATCGACGGTTGCAACGAAATTCGATCAATCGATGTAATGGAATTACTTCGTCGCTGTCACGGTTTCTGGTTGAAATCTCCCGAATTCACAACTTTCTTCAGAATTCTTTAAATAAAACAAAGGGGGAAGAGCAGAAGAAAAATAATTGACCTAAGTTAACCCTGGAACATCACTCCTCACTTTAATATACGTAAACACCACACTAGTGCGAATTGAGATTTGGAATTTTTTATGATTAACAGTAGAACTACCAGCATTGAATGTATTCTAAATTAAATTGAATAATACAATAATATATAGAATATATAAGACAATCTAACATAATATACCATAAAATAAAATCTGTAGTGAATTAAAAGCCAACAGAAATTCCGTCAAAAGCACCATTATAATTTAAGTAATGGTCATATAATAAATCCGTCATTTTGACGGGTTTGGTAGTTTTAGTATTAAGAACTTGAGGACGAATAAACGCAAATTGAACTCATAACATGTTCTTTAGGGTAAAATTTCTGGGGAAATTTAATGGCAATAGTTGCGAAAGTGAGAAATAATTTTTTATAATAACAGTAGAAACTGATAAAATGTTACAGACGAAATCATATTTCGCTGATGCAAATTCACACTGGTGTGGTGTCTGAGGGTTACTGTGAAATGACCCTATGTGCATTAGAAAATTATGAAAAAGTTTTGAAAAGTGATTGAATTGTATTAGTTGATGAACGTTGATCCAGGTCGTCACGATGATATTTCGTGTTATAATAAAACAGAAATCGTTGATTAACCGTCTTTTAATCGGCTGATACGCGTCCGCGCCTCGCTCGGTTTCTACCGGTAGCAACATCCCAACTCTAAATCGTTCCTTAACTTCCCGCCTAATGTAATCAGTGTTGAGGTAATTAAGGTCATCAAACTCGAGAAGCGGTTTCCTTGAGCGGGAAGAGAGGCGAAACGGGTCACCCGCGCCGCCACGTGTTATCGGTGCCAAGTTTTTCCTTTTTTTCCCCCATCCCGTTCAACAAACTTTTTCCCTTTTATTCGGGGAGCACTCGAGTCTCGACTGGTACACCGATTGACTAGGAAATACCTGAACACGCAAATCTATAAGAATTTTAATAACAATGACTACCAACGTCACTGACGTCTCACGATCTTTTCGTAATTCAAGACTCCTGGTCCCTATTTTTTTTCTAATAATTGGAGGGTTTATCTGCCTGTTGCACTTGTCATGCTCGAACCCAGGTTCTGTTTAAAAAAATGTTCTTTTACCGGAAAATTTTTGGAGGACGAATTATTGCCATGTGGAATTGTGTTCAAGTTACAAATAGGCACGTCGAACATTTTTGCCTGGCATAAGAAGCGGTGTTCTGTGTGATTTATTTGTGAGGCGAATTGTGCAAAAGCGAGCTGAAAATATATATCAGGTAAATGGTAGATAATAAATGAAATCGTGCAAATTATGCACATTTGTTATTTTGGTAGCAAGCGATTCGCAGGATCTGCTCCATTTTACCGTTGCATATTTTACGAGATGTATAGGTACACTTCTAGCGATTAGTGTTAAAATAGAGTGTCGGAGAAATGCTACGCGTAGGTAATTTTCATAATTCCGTGATCCATTGAATTTCAAATAATTATCGTTAATAGGGTTTTGTGAAACATGCGAAAGGAAGATTACCGGAATGTTAACTTTGATGACGTAACGTATCCTTTTAGTGAAAGCAATTGGTAAGTGAAATCCGATTGGTAATTATCTCTTAATCCTTGAGAAACAATTCAGAAGCATGGAGAAGAACCGCGCCGGCGGTCGAAGGCTCGGTTCGTGTGTAGCTGGATATTTCTGGATGAAAATAAATGACGAAATCAATATTTTATTGTTCACGGTGTCTCTATGATTGCTTAATAATTTCACACGTTACACGACGGGCTAGAAATAGCTCATAAATATAATCGTTCGAGCATGACATATGATCAGGAATTAGAACATTGCTAACGGACGTTCGCAACTATGTACATATTAATAAATTTTTGTATTACTATGCATCGTCCTTTCATAATTAACATCACTTTAAATACGAATGCGTATATCACTTTTTTAACCACCGCGAGATCAACTATTGTTATATTTTAAACGTCCAGTAAGGGTTCTTCCTACTGAAGTGTCAATAGGAAAAACGTGAACAATAAATATTTTTTGCCAATTTGTCAATAAAGAAGTAAATTGTACGGTGACAGACAGAATACATTCAGTCTTGAATAATACTATTATTTTATTTGATATAAAGTGGTGATTCAATTAATTATTTAGATACAATGCATCAAGGACGATATAATAGTTTCTTTTTCAAGACCATTGAGGTAATTAGCAACTTCAAGGGTACATTCCAGGATTCTTCTGGGAGGAAATACTCAGAAGGGTATTTCAACTCAAAATAACTAGTGAAGAAACTTCTAAATCATCCTATTCATTTATTTTGCCAAGTATTATCTTAATCGTTAACGTATTTCTGAATGCAATGTTTATCCGATGAAGATCATCGCTCAGCGTCGCTGAAGATGTAACATCGGTTATTCGAAACAGTTCAAATCTCCGCGTAAAATAAAATATTCTTTTGAATCTTCACCAAAAATCCTTCGACAGTAGTATAAATTTAATTATCGCCTAATGAGATTTTCTATTTGTCACCCAAGCATAACTGAGTAATTGTTTCCAGTCGAGAATTAAACACTTAGGTGCTCCAAAACATGAATAGTCTGACCTATTGTCAGTGTCTAGATACTCGAACAAAATAGTCGCGAAAGAATAATGACACGGAAAAGCTGTACAAATCCAGCATCAATCTTTCCGCATGCAACTCCATCAATCAGTAATAAAATAAAGTCTATCGTTCTCCACTCTTCACATTTCTATTCGATTAAAAAACCTTTTTTTTTATCAAGAATAAACAATTCTCCTGGTAACTGGATAATAAGAATAAAAAACTACCTATGTAAATATAATGTCAGACTCACATTCCTTATCAACACAAAAGAATATCTACTGCTTTCCACATTTCATTCATTGTCACAATGAAAATACTTAATAATTTCTGGTAGATAATTACAATCACGATTAACGACGAAATACAGTTCAGTCGAAAAGGAAGATTTATAAAAATACAGTATCAACGGTTCCGAATTCACTCCCTCGACTGTCATTCCTTAATTCCCCGTCCTAACCCAATCAAATGTTCTTTCACAAACAGATACGACCACACATTACCATTTGAATAAAATTCAATGAACAAGAAGAACCAGCACAAATTCAGCGTCCAACCATAGCACTCGCATCCCCATTCCCCGCACCACCTTTCAATCATCCATATACACCAAACCAAAAACTCAGTCTTCTTCGAAATCCAGGACAAACGATCAATCATCCCCGTGTCACAAGTTCACACAAAACGATCATAGAAAAAAAAAGTAACAGCCAACTTCTAGCATCGGTCTCTCCTCTGTTCCAACCCCTTCAGCAACCACTCCACAAAAACGCGATGATAAAACGATTCTTCGCGGGTCGAATACGAGCACAACTGAACAGAAACTATCATTCATCGAGATATCACGATTGTTCGACACTGAGATTACTTACCAGAAACGCCGTGAACGAAACTGCCCGCGGAGATGTTGTTCAGCATGCCGTTCCCCGGGAGCGTAATCCCGACACAAAAAATCGCGGCAACGGAAAACCCGCGTTTCACCGCGAACCTGTGCACCCTCGAAAACGTTAAACCTTACGGAAATAACCGTTGAACCACACAGAGAGGGGAAAAGGGGACGGAAAAGTGCAATTTCCAAACCGTGGATATCAAGCCCCGAACGTTGCGTTTAGTACTCGGAGATGGTTACACAACCGAGGAACGGCCCGTGCCCCAGCAAGGCAAACAGCGGACTGTCTGGCTGCCATATCCGTGCTCCCCCACCTTCGGTGTCGACACGGCGTTCCTCTCCCTCTCACGCTTTATCGCGAACCACCCTCCAGCAGGCATCCTCTTCTCACCCGTGGTGCCCGCCACGCCTGTCTCGCTCCTGCCCCCGGCTTGTGGGCGTGATATTAAATCGCTGGCTATGCTTCGAACTCGCCGCCAGGAACGTATCTAGGCACCGGGGAGACGCGAGAACGTGTGGCACGCTGGAGGCAGAAGACCACCTGGATCCAGGGTGTCCATTGCGTGATCTACCCTGAGGTGAACGAAATTCAACCTGGAATTCGATCAGGATTCATTTGGATTACTAGGGACCTCCGGATTCTACGATCATTGGTGAGTCGTTTTGATGATGGTTTTGATGGTCTCGAAGAGGATCGAGTAATAGAATATCGAGAATTGATATTTTCTAGGTGAAAATGAATTACCTAGACTCTGAAAAATAGGAATATTGAGAGTTAATATCTTACTTGCTGATACTCTTGAGTACGAAATCAGAAAAACTGCGCAAACTAGGACTCCTATGATCTCCATACTGGTCCAAGTTCGTAATGGGTTCGCAGGTCCAGACCGATAAAATCGGCAGACTTCCGGTAGCGGTTCGCTAGGCAGGTTACGCGATTGGGGATAAGGACGGACAGATGTAGCGACGAGGGCAGAAGGAGGGGCTGGCGAAGTAGAAGAAGAGGCGCGAAAGAGGCGAATAAGAAGGTAGAGCGCGTGGCTCGACGATGACGACCTGCGGGTGGGATACGAAAAAGAAAAAGAGGGTAAAAGCGCGGAAGAAATCGGAGAAGCGATAGCGGAAGCGGAGTCCCGTTCCGCACAGAGTACGGTGGTTGGCGGGGCTGTCCATATCCCAAGGTAAACTCTACTATCCAGGTTACCGTACGGTCTAGCTGTCTCTGTTTTGCGGTAGGCGGTAACTGCCGCGTACGCGGCTCCAATGAGCGGCGAGTAGCCCGCCCTCTGGATGCCCCACTAGCTTTACCCCCTGCTAGAGATTTATTGAAATTTTATTTTTATGGCCGGTGAGCACGGGCGTCCGGTTGATGCAAGGGGGATGCAGGGAGGCGTGGGTGGGGGAGCAACGCGAAGAAGAGGAGAGGATTCCTTCTCGTTTCCTCCTATCCTTTTTTTCCCGCGTTTCCCTCTGTCCTCGTTTCATCCCCGTCCACCACCCTCCGTTTCAACGGTTCTCTGTCCTTGTTCGATCCTACCGCCGCTGCCGCGTAGACTCCGGGCGCTTTATTCGCTACGTCCTTTTAATTCAATAGCTACCCTTTTTTATAAGGTGGCAAGCGAAGACGAGAGGTAGCCGCGTTTCCAACGTCGGCCGCCAACGATATGCCTGTGGAGAAACACTTCGTTCTTACGGTATTGACGCGCGTTGATATTCTCTCTATGGACTTTGTTTGCTGACTGTAGTCGACGCTCTCGGGATTGGTATAACGGCGGCCCGTTCAAACGGGGGATGTTTATCGCGACGATTGGGAATTACGGTCCCGAAGCAGAGAACTGGGTAAAACGCGTGAGGTATCTACATAGGATTTTCGGGAATTTCGGAGACTGTTCCTTGTGGGCAAGGACGCGCGTCGAAGAAACAGTTGTATCATTGTTGATGTAAGTTCGTAATTAAGTCGAATAACCGGAATTCGTTCTTGTCGGGTCGTTCAATGTACCCTTGCTCTCATAATTATTAGGATATTTATCGTATATACACTAAATGTTACAAGGCGTTACGAAATTGCTGAATGTCTGAAATAAATATTGTTTAGGTGATATTTAAACTGAATTGGCAACGATTATGCTACTATGAAGTAATATTATACAAATGTGGCGTACAATATATAATTTTATCATATTTTCTTTACATATACCAGGTGTCCTTACGAGCATAGTGTACCATTTCGTTCGATCGAAGATCAGCAACAAAAGTTAATCGTTGCTACTTCGCAACATTTACATCGACTTTTCAAACAGTTCGTCCGTGACAATAATTTTTGTATGCAATTATAGTTCAACGAAATTCTTCGGTAAATATTCCGGGGTGTTCGTCGCGTTTGGAATAGATATCAGTGAGACGTCACGCGTACACCCCACGAAGCCATATTGCTCAGGGGGTAGAGCGGATGTCAAAGAATTTTAATAAACACGACGGAAACGCTTCGTCAGCCGACTGTTCAACATTCTTGCATTAATATGAAAATAATTTACGACGCATACTTAATATCAGAAATGTCGTTCTTTGAGAGCGCCTTCGATGCTTTGGTCGTCAGACGAAACGAAGAAAAAAAGGTAGTGGTGCGTTGAAATTAATATTCCGGTTCAGTTCTTGGAACACTGGCAAATACGTGTTTCAATTTTTTACCAGTTTGACAATAGCCGCCTGACCAAGGGGCACTCGACTGAATTATTATGTGGTCTTTTAAAAAGTTATATCGTAAGCATACAGAGTGTAAATAAAATTTTAATCTTTCCAGAATTGTCATCAATCAACTATGTCTTTATATATTCAAGAAATACCTACTTTCGATCAAATCCATTCATCGTCTCGAAAGGTGAAACAAGAGAAACATTTGGTAATTTAAATTGAATGAGAACCCCGAATTAAGGGTCTGTAGCACATTTTGGTCAAAGATGAATTAATAGTAAAGTATTGTCCTACAATCCCTGTCGATCGTTTTTGTAACACACAGATTGCAGGTATTCCGTCAAACACCTATATGTATAATATTGAACCCGCGAGGCATGTTAGTTACTAACTTCTTTTGTTGGTCAATAGGTAATCTAACTTCTGTCAGCAAGGATCACTTAAAAAATTCAAGTATTTGCTCCAAAAATAAGTACAAAAAGAAAAAAAAGGAAAAGTAGGTCTGTTTAATACCGACATTTTCTACTTAAAACTAACAACTGTTGGTTGTTTCAATGGAAGAAGTGCCCAAGGCACAGAAGAAATTCATCACAATTAACCAAATACAGTGTAACTTAGACACCACATTTTCCAAAAATCTGTTAAGTATACTATAGACCTTCATTCGAGTTTTCTATTTAATTATTCGATGCATCGAAGATGTCCAATCCCTGACCCCCGATATCTAGTTCACCTCACTTTCCCTTCTTTTCCACGCGTGGTGGTACGTATCAGAAATATTCAGACGAATGCAAATACATATATCATTGATCGTATCAAGGATAATTAACGTCGCCCCGCCTCGTAGTATTCGATCACACGGAGGAATGTTCGAACCATGTCGCCGGCAATATCCAGTCGATGAACGGGCGACGGTCCATGGAAAATAGTGTAACCAGCAGCGTAGCTTTTGCCCGTATCCGAGAACGTTTCCAAAAATACCCCCGGAATTCTCCGGTTTAATGAAACAGACATAACCAGGGGAATGCAGGATTCGACCGCACGCCACAGGAATCTTCGCCGGGCGATATACATATTTCGAATATCATAACGTTAGCAGTTTTTATCGCCATCGGAGCCTACGGTCGGCCGCATCCATCGCGGGAAAAACTTGATTATCGTTCAATTTTTGTTACAACGACGGTGTTTCGATTCGGTGTAGCCTTGTCACGGCTGTAACAACAATACGTGCCCCCATCACCCCCATCGAGAGTATCGACGCAACCCACGATAACACCGGGACGATCGTCGGGAAAGATTCAGAAAAAGTCCGTGAAATCGGATTGAATTTGAAGTGGAGACATAGAACTTGCGGACGTCTGCGATTCACCGGTAGAGACGACTGTTTTTAATCTTTTAACGCCCAGACAATTGGTATTTCAAAATTATGAGACTGATGTATATGCTGTGTCTTGTTATTTTGAAATCCAAATATTGATATTAAACAAACCTATTTTTTTCATTTTTTTTTCCTTTTTTATTTATTTTTCGAGGGGGCACTCGAATTTCTCAAATGAAAACGTGGAAATCTACTTCACATCAATGGAATTACGGATCCTTCTTGACAAAAATTAGATATTAATCGGCAACAGAATTTGACGCACTTTTAGGATGAATGTTGCATTGGTGCAATACTGGGTATTAAAGGGTTGAGGACGCACCACTCCCTTGCGAAGGTATTCGGTGAATTTCGCGAGGTATTCGATACGTGTTGATTCTGTTCGAACTTCTGTCTTTATTCTAGCTAGAAATCGGTAGAAAATTGTCTTCGAATGATGCACAAGGATAGTAAATATTTACTGTAATAATTAATTCACCTTAACTGCTTTTTTTTAGATACACTACCGGCCAAAAGTATGGAACCATCATGATTGATGGAACAGTACCTCATTTTCCGTGGCAATATAATAATAATTACAGAATCAGTCCATATAAAAATAATTTTCAATCAGTTTTTGCACCTTACTCTTATCCAATCTTTGTAGAACATTATTTTCCTCTTTCATTAATTACCACACCTGGTCGCATACTTTTGACCGGTAATGTACGTGTGACTCGTTCAATACTTGTAATTGAAATCTTTATTTTTTTCCAGTTGTTTTAGATTCATCGTCCAGACAAGGTATTTATTTATTTTGGATTCTACGTTTAGTAGCGCAAGTGTTCACTGGACGAGTGTATTTCGGTGCAAGGGAAAATGGTCCCTTTTTTTTCCCGCGTGTCGTTAGAGGAGGTGAATGGCAACAGCGACGAAACACTTGGCCGCCGGAAATGTATTTGCAGGCAGAGGCATATGTGC